AGGCGCTTGGTAAGAGGCACAGGTTTATAACGTCGGGACATCGGTCACTCGCACGGTGAAAGCTTCTCGTGGTTCCCTCGCGTAGACTCGAGGCGCTTCGAGGAGACTCGTAGGCTCACACAGACACCCACGCGCTCACGCAGAGACCCATAGACTCACACAGAGACCCACAGACACGCAGAGACCCACGGCCTCGGGCAGAGACCCACAGACGCCCACATAGAACCACAGACTTGCACACAGACCCATGGACTCGCATAGAGATCCATAGACTCTCATAGACACAGACTCAAGCAGAGCCCGTAGACTCGCAAAAGATACAAAGACGAACAATTAGACCCATTATTATGGATAGGCCCATAGCATCACACACAAATCCATAGACTCACACAGAGACCCGTTGACTCACAACTAATCATGTGTATTGAATGTAAGCACTGGGGAGACACATAAACTATCGGAGATATTTATTACAATTGCGCTGTAAGCCATCTACCTCATTAGGGTCTTCAGACGCTCATGAATATTCATCCAGGAGCTGGCAATGTGAACAAAAATCCGCTCTGTTAGACATCGATAAACAAACTGTAGATCCGTCGGATGCCGAGAGATTCGACGCAAATTTTGGCGATAAAATTCGTCAAAGCATCGGTCGGAATCGAAGCACTCTCGCGTCAATCTTCAGACGCTGGCAATTTATTTTGGGTTGAGGTCATCAATTAGACACCGATGGAGACGCTGCCGGTCTGGCTCGGACGCTGATGAGATGGTGGTCGGGATCTGCGTTGATCGCATTTTTGCCGACGATTGAGTGAGAAGCGGGCAGCTTCTTCACAAGCTGAGGTATCGCTGTGTTCCAGTTCCGCATCCCTTAGGATCCAGATAGATGTTTGGTGAGCGAGTGTGAGTGTTGAGAGAGAGATTGAGCGAGTGTTCGAGCGTGTGTGTGTGTTTGCGCATGCGTTTTTTTTTACTATTTGTTATTTATTTTCTCGTGCAATAGAGACCAAATCCATAACTTTCATATTTATTTATTTATTACTTTGCTTTTCGGGGCGGGACCAAAGTGGAACATATCATCGATCCGTTGTCTCACGTGATTGGTCAATCGCCAACCCTGCTGAAACACCTTGGAGCCTACGGAACCCTGATTGGTTGATTTTGAAACCAAACTTGGAGCTGATTGGACAACTTTGAACTCTTTCTGAAAGCTGTGTTCTAAGGACGTCATCGGATTCGACAGCCAAGGGCTCTTTCCTGAAAGCTGATTGGATAATTTTTTGAACAAACTTGAAGCTGATTGGACATCTTTGGGACCTACTGCAACCCGGAATGGACAGCTAAAGGACTCTTCTGAAGGCTGATTGAAGGATTTAAAAACGTGCTTGAACCTTATTGGATGGTACAGGACGGTGTTGTGATGTGATTGGACGGCTAAATATTGTTCTGGAAGCCGATTGGATGATTTTGAGACCAACTTGATTCTGATCAGGCAACTAACTGACCCTGATGAAAGCTGATTGGATGATCATCAAACACCGCTGTGATCTGATGGAACAAGACAAGATTGTGGTGCATCGTGATTGGCTGTCCTGAAGAAGCCGCTCTAACCTATTCTGATTGGTCGACAAAACAAAGCTACTTAGCCTTGGTTGGATGGTACATCGCCCTGCTGTGATCTCATTGGTTCTTGCCAGATTCTGGTGGAAGCCGATTGGAATGTTGTGAAATAGCGAATACCCGTTTGCTCGATGATAGGAAAATACTGTGATCTGATTGGCTAGGACTAGAAGCCAGTGAGGGAACTTAAAGCTCACATTCAGGGCACAAGCACTTTACACAGATTAACGGGAAAATAGCAAATTAATGTAACGTGTAATTACAGCCGCTTGCTTGTTTAATTCGTGCAATAAGTTTACTTAAAGTTTATCCAGGAACGATCTATTTTGTTTAAGAGTGTTAAAGTATCGACGCTGTGCTTGGAGCGCGGTGGTGCAGCGGTTGACGTTTCTCTGCGCGAACCGCTGCGGCTGCTTGTTAGGAAGCCGGCAGAGACCCGAGCTCGATTCGCAGTCACGACCACCGTCCCCCTTAGATCATTATATGCACAGACACGCACACGCCAACACGCACACATAGACACACACAGACATACAGTCAGACAAACACAGACACGCGCAATACACGGACACAAATGTAGACAAACACGCCGCACATTAGATGGCCCTTTGTTAGTCTCATTAAGTTATCCCTCTACCTTAGTAATGTAAAGTACTTGAAACGTATAACCTCTACCACAGTGTGTGTGTGTGTATCGATATATGTGACACGTTAGGGGCATTATTGTCAGAGTTGACAACACCGATCACTGCGTTCATGCCGGTTCTGGCCGGTCCCTCTGCCCTTTACGGTCAGAGTTAAGGGATTCGTTTGTTTGGGATTAAGAGGAGCACAAAGCGTTGGCTTTTAGCAGTGGGTGTTGGGGAGGCATCTCATGAGAGGTTTAGAAGTTTAAGGAAAGAGTCAGGACACTGGGATATAAAAAGGTTGAATTGTTGATTTATTTTGTTGTTGTTGGTTAAGGCGAAACTCGTTGGGTCGAAGGTTTTCGATGTTTCGGGTGATTTAAGTTTGAGTGGTTAGGTTTGATTTGGGGGTTCGTATTAGGATCAGGGATTTGGGGGGTCAGAGTTCCAAGTTCAGGGTCAACGGCAAGGTGATTGGTGTATGGGGTTAGAGTTTCAGGGGTTTGAACCGGCTATAAGAGTTACGGTTTCAGGATTTAAGGTTCGTGATAGGATCAAGGTTACGGTCAAGGTTTCTGGGGTTACAGTTTAGCGTTAGGATTGTGGTTTAGTGTTTGGAGGTGTGGATAAGCCTCAGAGTCAAGGCTTAGGCGTTAGAGGTTAGGATCGGCATTAGGATCGAGGTTTTCGCATCGGCAGTGAGAATTCACTGCAAGGCGTTGGCCTTACATTTAAGTGTTAGTTTCGGCGTTGGCTTCTAGGTTAGGGAGCACTCCACCTCTGCCACCAACAGCAGTCTCGACCTGCACCCCCGCAAAGCTGCACAAAACCCGCGAGAGGGCTGTGTTGCAAACGGCGAACCGCTGCTGTTCACCGAATTCCAAAAAGGAGGGGCGACAGACTCCGTTTCTTCGCTGTGCAAACTCTGGGGGTGGGGGGGGGGGGGTGGGGGGGGCGTTCTCCCGTTTCTGTGGCAGCAGTGGAGACTTCCTCCTCAGCCAAGAGAGTTTTTCTTCCTTTCCCCGTGGGCCTCGAAGTGGGCGGCGGGGGCGGCGGGGGCGGCGGGGCGGGGGGGAACATCTCCCTCGTGTCCGCGGACCGCATTGGAGCCGCGAGCGTCGACGAGGGGGAGAATTTTTTTTCGCAAGCGCCCGTGGGCGTCGCTCGCTCATTTCCTCGTTCGGGATCTGCGACGACGGTGGACGAATGTGATACCTGCGAGGCGTCGAATCCCAACGTCGGTCTCGGCCCGGTTCACTTGAAAGGCTGTGGCCCCGGGGGGGGGGGGGGGGAGGCGAATTCGGAGGCCAGAGTGGGGACTGTCGATTCGGGGAATTTAACTTGGCCGTCACAGGCGCCGGAACTTTGCGTCGGAATTTTTTTTGCGCGGAAAGTGAGGGAGAGAAGCCCTGGAAACCGGGAGAGCTCTCGCGGATTCGGGAAGCTGGATCGGAATGTGAATCGGGGATCGACGGGACGAGATCAATCGGAACCTGAAGCCAGAGAAAAACAACGAACTGAACTTTTGATCGGCAAATCCCCTAGAAATTTAATCGGGATTGGTGACGATTGTTTGAGCGGAGGGGGGGGTGGGGGGGGGGGAGTTTGGAAGGTTGGGTGGTGAGAAGAACCAGGATCAGAAAAGCCGGAACAACCCGAGTCTAAAAACGCCGGGAAAAGTTGAGCGAAGCCGGTGACATCGGAACGTCAAACACCGGACACCAAAGAAAAGTCGTTTCGAGTTGGACCGCCGAGCCGGGCAGCGGGAGACGCGAGCCCCCCACCCCGTCCCGTGAGCCCCCCGGGGCCGCGGGCGTGAGTTTCTCACCGGGGCAGCGTCGTCGAAGCCCAGGCTGCTCCCGCACGTGTGTGATGTCATCGCTGGAAGATGGAGGCTGCCGCTGCTGTCGCCGCCGCCGCCGCCGCCCTTGCCGCGATTTCACCCGCAGCCGGACGGCGGAGGCCTAGAGCCTGCCCAGCGGCGAGGCGCGCCCGCCGCCACCGGCGGTTACGAGCGTCCCCGTGGTGCGGAGGGGAGCGGAGTTGCCCGGTTTCTCTGGGTCGGCGTCTACCTCCTCCTCCTCCTCCTCCTCCTCGTCCTCCTCGTCCTCCTCCTCCTCCTCGTGTCTCTCCCTCGCTCTTCACCTCCGCTGCTCCTTCACCGGCTCGGGACTTCCTCGACTCCGAGGCCTCCGGCCCTCCCCGTCAGCCGCCTCGGCTGCGGAGTGACCCCCGGCGCCCGCCGCGCCCGCGGGCGCCGCGCGTCCGCGAGCGTCGCGCCCGGTCGCCGCTCCGCGCCCCCATTCCACCGCTCCCTCCGACGTCGCCGCCGTCCCAGCGGCCGCGGCGGGAGGAGGAGCAGCGGCAGCAGCGGCGGCGGCGGCGGCGGCGGCGGCGGCGGCCCTCCGCGGCTGCGCCTGCTCCGGCCCCGCGCCCGACCTTCGGCGGCCCGACGGAACGTCCGGCGCAAGAGCTTCACCGCCCGCGGACCGCGCGCAGCCGACGCCTCGGTCGTCGTCGTCGTTGTCGTCGTTGTCGTCGTCGTCGTCCCCACCACCTCCTTCCTTTTTTACCTCCTTTCCCGCGCCTCTTCCGGACGCCCGCGGGCCGGGGGTGGCCCCTTGCTCCCCGCCGCCCCGGCGGGGCGACCGGCGTCGGCAGGTCCGTTGGCGAGCTCCCTCGCCAGTTTCGAAGGAGGAGGCCGCCACCGCCGCCGAATTTTCCAGGACCCCTGCCGGCCGTCGTGGCCACGTGATGGCGACGCTGCCGCGGAGAGGGAAGGGCGGCGGCGCCGGAGGCGGCGGAGGCGGCGGAGGCGGCGGAGGCGGTGGCAAGGACCCCGCGTCGCCCTCGCCGGGCTCCCCGCGGGGTCCCGGCGAGGGCGCCGTCGTCACGCCGCTGCCGCCGCTTGACGGCAGCAGCCGCGCCGTCGGCAGCCGCCTGAGCCGCGTGACGGGCAGCGAGAGCACCTCCAGCCTGCGGGGCCTCCACGTCGCTCAGCAGCAGCAGAATCAGCAGCAGAAGCAGCAGCAGCAGCAGCAGCAGCAGCAGAAGCAGCAGCAGCAGAAGCAGCAGCAGCAGAAGCAGCAGCAGAATCAGCAGCAGCAGAAGCAGCAGCAGCAGAAGCAGCAGCGCCCCACCTCCCACGGCGTGGACAAAGCGCCGGGCAAGGTCCAGGTGGCGCCGACGGCGTCGGTGGGAGCCGCCGCGGCCGCGTCGGCAGTGGCGGCCGCGGCCGCGGCCACGGCGTCATCGGAATGCGGACACGGAGAAGAGACGGCGGTTGACGATTTGGACGAAGGCGGCGGCGGCTGCGGCGGCTGCGGCTGCGGCTGCATGAGCAGCCTGGGCCGTTTGGCCTCCGCCGTCCTCGCCGGAACCCGGCGGACACCACCGCCGGGCCTCGGCGAAGACGAAGCCGTCGCGGGCGAGGCGTCGGCACCCCGCCGGCGGCCCCGCAGGGAGCGCCTCGCCGTGTCGGCGCTGCTCGCCGCGCTGCTGGTCACGGGGCTGGCGGCGGCGGCGCTGCGCTGGACGTCGCCGGGGTCGGGGAGCTCCGGGGCCTTCCGCCCGCCGCCGCCGCCGCCGCCGCCCCCGCCGGGCCTGGCCAAGGCCGGCGGCGGGGCGTCGTCCTCGCAGGGCGAGGGCCCGGCGTCGTCCCGCCCCGGCCCGGCCTCTGCGTCTCCCTCGCCGACCCCGCCGACCCCGCCCACCGGCGGCGACGTCGCGGCAACGCCCCCGTCCCCGCCCCCGTCCCCGCCGCGAAGGCCTCATTCTCCCCGCCCCCCGAACCTGCCGCCCACGGGGCCGGGGCCCCCGCCGGCCAAGGCTTCGGAGCGGGCGCAGCCGGGCGGCGCGGACGGCGCTGGGCCTCCGTGGCCGCCGTGGGGCCCCAGGGGCGGGGAGGGCAGCGGAGGTTGGCCCGTAGAGGATCGGTTAGCGGGAGGAGGGGCGGGAGGAGGGGCGGGGACGAGGACCGGGGGGGCGGCGGCGGCCACCGTAACCGACGACGAGGACGACGGGGACGCCGACGTGAACGCCGACGGCGGGGACGAAGGCGGGGAGGCGAGGGCGGGCGAGGGGAGGAGCGAGGAGGAGGAGGAGGGGCGGGCGAGGGGGCCGACCCTCACAGCCGCCCCCCGCGCGGAGGGAACGGGATTCCGTAAGTGACGGGACGAGGGCGCGCGGGGGGGGGGTGGGAGTGTGTCCCCCCCCCCCCCCCCCCCCCCCCCCCCCCCCCCACGTGCACGCGCCCGTACGCGTCTGTGGGGGGGGGGGGGGGTCTGCGTTCGCGTGGTGGTTTTGCGTCGCTCTGCGCTCGTCCGCCTGCGTGCGAGGAGCTGAATTGTGTGAGGCGACGAGTCTCACGAAGCCTTGAAGGACCCGGACAAAGCCCCATCGGTGAACTCTGCCGGGCAAGGTTTCGTTGGCTGGGTCGTGTAGCCGGCATGCCCAGACGCCATGTGCCTAAACATCTTTTGTCCGGCCGCATAGCGGGGGCTGCGTGGAGTGGTACAGGGGGACACGTTGCCGAGCGGACTTGCCGACGACCGGTACCAGCGGTGTCAAGATCGGCCTCTGGTGGGGGAGGCTCGTGAAGGACGCTGCTGGTGCAGTCGGAGGCAGTCGCCCTCCAGCAACAGCGGTGGGCGGAGGAGCGGCGCTCACAGCAACGAGCGGAGCGCCGGGCGGCTAAAAACACAGCAGGTTGTCACAGTAGGGAGCAGCGCCATCGGGCGTTCAAGACTTCGCGTGGCCTTAAAGTGCACTTGGCCTGGCACGAGCGCCATGGCGACGTAAACCGCCTCTTAGTGGCAAAGGGCGGTTCGCGTGTCCGTGCGCATGCGCTACGAACCAGGGACCTGGGTTTGATCCCTGCTCACGGCCAACGCCAGTGGCGATTATCTGAACCGGCCGTGGGCCTCCTCTCGGTCGACTCGGCCTCAAAATGAGTACCTGCTGCAGTGTGTAGTAAACATCGCCTCTCGGGAGAGGAGTGTGGCCGGGTATGGAGCTGTGACCACCCACCCCCTCAGGTGCCATTGCCCGGGGCCCTTCATCAGAGCTACCCGTTACCGGCGCTTACCCCAATGGTCCGTCAAGGTTATTAGGGTTGTAGGGAGTGACAGGGCAGACAATCTTCGCACTGTGCTGCACTAAGAACCCGGGCAGAGACCCGGGGTTTGTTTTCCCCGCTGACGGCCAGCACCGCCAGTGGAACTTAATCTGAACTGGTCCTCGCCTGGATCAACCTCAACCTCAAATAGGTACCCGGTTCGATGTGGAAACATCGCCGTTTTGGAGACAAAGGCGGCTGGGCATGGGTGCTGGCCACCCAGTCCCCTCGTGTGCCATGCCGGCCTTCGTTGCTGCTGCTGCTGCTCACTAACAACGTTTGCCCCCCCCCAAACGGCCCCCTAAAGCTGCGTAGCTCTTTTTCAGAAGCGACCTGCCCATGAACATCACGTGGCAATTTGTCTGCGGTCAAGTATTCTGAAACACGCGTTGATCCTGAACGCGAGAGGGGGGAAAACCGGAGGACCCAGGGAAATTGGGATTCTTTGTGTTGTACGGGTATAAGCATGCACCTGCCTTTGTCTCAGGCGTGCATCTGTGTGTGTCTATCTGTGTGTGTGTGGGGGGAGCGGTGGTGTAGCGGTTAGCGCTACGCTGCGCTACGAACCTGGCGACCCGGGTTCGATTCCCGCTCACGGCCAACACCACAGTGACGATTATCTGAACCGGTCCTGGGCCTCCCCTAGGTCGACTCAGCCTCAAATGAGTACCTGGTGCGGTGGATAAAAAAAACATTGCCACCGGGGAGACAAAGGCGGTCGGGCGTGGTGCTGGCCACCCACCCCCCCCTCGTGCACCGCTACCGGCCTTCATAGGTGCTGCTCGCTAACAGCACTCGCCCCTACAGTCTGTTGCAGGCTACACGGGGGATCTTTGTCTTTATCTTTGTGTGTGCGCTCGCTCGCTCGCTCGCTAATGGCACTTGCTCCTAGAGTTTGCTTAGTGCATCACCGTTGCCGCAGCCCGCCGCTGGTGAGCTCGGAGAGTCTTGCGGAGTCCGCAGTGTGAGCCTCACCGTGCGAGTTCTACGCTACCGACAGGATCCACCAGGTCTCTCGGTTTCAGCGCTGTTACAGCCTGCCGTGGGAGGCTACACACGGGATCTATGTGTGTGTGTGTGTGTGCAGGTGCCGTGCGTGTAAGGGTGGGAGCCGGAGTGCAAGGATAAGCGTGGGGGAGGAGAGGGCGGTCTTTGTGTGCATGACATAGGATTCTAGATTTGAAGCTTTCGTGACTGCAAGGATCCATACTATATTCTTAGCTCTTTCGGTAAAGTCACGTTGAAGGGAAACAATACAATAATGAAATATATATAAAACAATATTATTTTATTGTTATATATATATTTTATTATTGTATTGTTTCCCTTCAACGTGGCTTTACCGAAAGAGCTCAGAATATGAATTACTGCAGTCACGAAAGCTTCGAATCAAAATTTAGGATCCGTGCTCTTTGGTTCTATTCGGTAAAGTCACGTGGGTTAAAAAAATAAAATAAAACAACAAAAATCGCGACGTTTCGGCCGCAACGCAAGCGGCCTTCATCAGGCGAAGGGCCGAAACGTCGTGATTTTGTTTCATTCTCTTTATATAGATGCGCGCATGCCCTAGATCGACGTGCGTTCGCGTGGAGGCGAGTCCTTGTGGGGAGCGGTGGCAAAAGTCGGCTAGCGCTGCGCTACGAAGCCGGCGACCCAAGCTTCCTTCCCGCTCGTGGTCACGGTCGCCGGTGAGAGATTACCTGAACCGGTTCCCCGGGCCTCTCCGAGGTCAACTCGGCCCCGAATGAGTACCCCCAGCGCGCTGTGTAAACATCGCCGCTGGGGCTGGGCGGGGGGGGGTGGGGGGGGGGGGGTTGGGGGATGCATACGCGGTCAGGGGTGTTGCTGGTGTGCCGATCGCCCCCGTGTGTCGTGCAAGCCTCCATCGATGCCGCTACTAGCCCCCTGACTGTCCGTATGGGTTCGCGTTTCTCTTTTGTGTGTGCGTCGCACCACGGGATGCCTATACGGATGTGCGCATTTCAGTTTGCGCTTCGATGGGTTATAGCGGGGGGTCAGGGGGCAGTCGTTTGCACCGCACTACGCTTCGAACCGGGCATTAAACCCCATTTGAATTCCCGCCAAACGGCAGCCAATGCCGGTGATGGAGCTTCTCCGAACCGAAACCGGTACCCGGACCTCCCCCGACCCCCCCAACGAGGTCGACTCGGCCTCAGATTATTGACCGCGGCGCAGGGCGCATTGAACGTTTACTCTCTGGGTAGACGAAGGTGGCCGGGCACGGGGGTCCAGGCCGCCCACCTCCACGTTCGCCGCGCCCTTCGCCGGCGCCGTAGAAAGGAGGGAGCGTGGAGAGGAAACGGAGAGACGAGGATGTTGTGGGAAAGAGGGGGATTCAAGAGAGAGGGGGGAGAGAGAGAGAGAGAGAGCGAAGAGCCGTGGAGAGCACGGTGAGATTTAAGAGAGAGCATCGGACAGGAGGGAGAGGCACGGGAATGCTGGAGGGAGATTCAAGAGAGAAGCATGGCTACTACCTTGCTACGCGATATAACCCTTCAACCTATGTTGTGGGTAATATTTGTCGCGAAAGCCTACGTGTTAAACTTGCTAACATGTAGCCTAAATGTGTGTACGTGTAGGGGTGTGTACAGAGGTGTGTGTAGGGGTGTCTGGGTGTAGGGGTGTCTGGGTGTAGGTGTGTGTAGGGGTGTCTGGGTGTAGGTGTGTGTAGGGGTGTCTGGGTGTAGGTGTGTGTAGAGGTGTCTGTGTGTAGGGGTGTCTGGGTGTAGGTGTGTGTAGGGGTGTCTGGGTGTAGGTGTGTGTAGGGGTGTCTGGGTGTAGGTGTGTGTAGGGGTGTCTGGGTGTAGGTGTGTGTTGGGGTGTCTGGGTGTAGGTGTGTAGGGGTGTCTGGGTGTAGGTGTGTAGGGGTGTCTGGGTGTAGGTGTGTGTAGAGGTGTCTGTGTGTAGGGGTGTCTGGGTGTAGGTGTGTGTAGAGGTGTCTGGGTGTAGGTGTGTGTAGGGGTGTCTGGGTGTAGGTGTGTGTTGGGGTGTCTGGGTGTAGGTGTGTAGGGGTGTCTGGGTGTAGGTGTGTAGGGGTGTCTGGGTGTAGGTGTGTGTAGAGGTGTCTGTGTATAGGGGTGTCTGGGTGTAGGTGTGTGTAGAGGTGTCTGGGTGTAGGTGTGTGTAGGGGTGTCTGGGTGTAGGTGTGTGTTGGGGTGTCTGGGTGTAGGTGTGTAGGGGTGTCTGGGTGTAGGTGTGTAGGGGTGTCTGGGTGTAGGTGTGTGTAGAGGTGTCTGTGTGTAGGGGTGTCTGGGTGTAGGTGTGTAGGGGTGTCTGGGTGTAGGTGTGTGTAGAGGTGTCTGGGTGTAGGTGTGTGTAGGGGTGTCTGGGTGTAGGTGTGTGTTGGGGTGTCTGGGTGTAGGTGTGTAGGGGTGTCTGGGTGTAGGTGTGTGTAGGGGTGTCTGGGTGTAGGTGTGTGTATTGGGGTGTCTGGGTGTAGGTGTGTGTAGGGGTGTCTGTGTGTAGGTGTGTGTTGGGGTGTCTGGGTGTAGGTGTGTGTAGGGGTGTCTGGGTGTAGGTGTGTGTAGGGGTGTCTGGGTGTAGGTGTGTGTAGGGGTGTCTGGGTGTAGGTGTGTGTATTGGGGTGTCTGGGTGTAGGTGTGTGTAGGGGTGTCTGGGTGTAGGTGTGTGTAGGGGTGTCTGGGTGTAGGTGTGTGTAGGAGTGTCTGGGTGTAGGTGTGTGTAGGGGTGTCTCGGTGTAGGTGTGTGTAGGGGTGTCTGGGTGTAGGTGTGTGTAGGGGTGTCTGGGTGTAGGTGTGTGTAGGGGTGTCTGGGTGTAGGTGTGTGTAGGGGTGTCTGGGTGTAGGTGTGTGTATTGGGGTGTCCGTGTGTAGGTGTGTGTAGGGGTGTCTGGGTGTAGGTGTGTGTAGGGGTGTCTGGGTGTAGGTGTGTGTAGGGGTGTCTGGGTGTAGGTGTGTGTAGGGGTGTCTGGGTGTAGGTGTGTGTAGGGGTGTCTGGGTGTAGGTGTGTGTAGGGGTGTCTGGGTGTAGGTGTGTGTAGGGGTGTCTGGGTGTAGGTGTGTGTAG